GTGTCTTACGAGAAATTAAGACCTCAACAATTCTCGAATTATACTATTATTTATTGATTAGATGGAGTAGAAAAAAAAAACTAAAAATAAGGTTTTTTAAATATTTAGGTTTTGTTTTTACAATAAAATATATAGGTTACCGTGGAATTTAATGAGAAATTAATATTAAAAAAAAATTTCAAGTAACCTAGTTGAAAATTGTTTGTGATTTTTTAATATTAATTTCTCAATAAATTCCAAGGTAACCTATATATTTTATTGTAAAAAACAAAACCTAAATATTTCAAAAACCTTATTTTTAGTTTTTTTCTACTCCATCTAATCAATAAATAATAGTATAATTCGAGAATTGTTGTTGATCTCTTACTTTCTCGTAAGACACTGTACAAATACTCACATTAAAAAAAAAATTCTCAAAAATTTGCACAGTAAAGTATAGTTAAAAGTTCACTATTAGATAAATAAAGACTTTAACTATTAGAAAAAAAAAAAAATTTTTAGTCATAATCTAATATTTTTTATTTAATATTGGACCTCCTTAAAGTTTGTCTCAGAAAAAAAGGTCAAATTATTCTTCCTCCAACTATACCAGGCCAAAAATTTAGCTTTTGTGGATATTGTGTGTGACCTTCTATCATCCAGTGTGGATTCTGATCGGACCAATACCGGCAATTATGCCGATTGACAAATCCTTTTAGACAAAACTTTGATTCGTCGGAAAACACAATATTATTCATAATATTGTTCCCATTAATTCGATCCATCATTTCTTGGCAAAACTGCATTCGTCGATCAGGATCATCTTCATTTAATTCTTGATGTAATTAAACTTTATACGGATGAAAATGATTTTTTATCAGTATCCTTCTTACAGAACTCTGGCTAATATAATTATTTAATGCAAGTTTTGCTATGGAAGTTTTAGGTTCTTCATGAACATTTAGAAGTACATCAAGTGATTTCTCCTCATTTGTAGCTGTCCTCTTTCGTCCACTACCAGGAATATTTTTGACACTACCTGTTTCGTTAAACTTGCGTAAATTTTGATACACTGTCGACTTAGAAATTAGAGACAATATGTCAGGATATGTAGCATTAAACAAATCGGCAGCTTCTTGTAAACATCTCTTTCTATCTCCAAAACCAACCATCATTAACAGTGTAATTCTTTCACGTTCACTTAGCTCCATTGTTAGTAATAATAATCAAATACTTAATCTGTACACTAAAGATATTTGTATTTACTGTGATTTGACGTTAAGATTTTTTGTTAATAGATCATGATATTGCCAGGAAACAGAAAAAAAAATATAATTACAGGGTGATCCATTTAAAATATTTAAAATGTGTCTTATGAAAGTATAATCTAATTTAATTGTTATTGATAAGACCGTAAGTCTGGGACCTACTTAATGTACCATTGATGAAATCAGACATATCATACGAACTCGAAAAAAATATAAATAATAAAATATTGCCCGATGACGTCATATCTTGAAAATCATTACATATGTGGGAAATCTGTAAACGTCAATAAATAGTACATAAAATGTACAAAAACTTTATCTAAGTCAAATTATCGTACAAGTCATAGTTAAGCCATAAATCAAGTGTTCCGCCCATATAGAATGACCCTGTATAGGATGCCATATTATTGATGAATATTCTAATTTTGTTCTAACTAAGCTAAAATATAGGGAAGTTAATGCCGAGAGACTATTGAAATTCTTACAATTTCGGATTTTAAAACCATATGCATGGTACGCTGAATTCACAATAGAGTTAATGTGGTAGTTAAAAGTAATTTGATAATCAAAGTGAACCCCAAATCTTTAATAGTGTCTGTTCTTTCCAAAATAATATTATTAATAGAATAAGGAAAATTCAAAGAAATATGTTTACGGCTATAAGTCACAATTTTACATTTAGAAATAATTAAAAAGAGGCGATTTCTGTGACACCATTCCTGCAATAGGTTAATTTGATTTTGCAATGTTAAACAATCAGCTTTACTAGAGATACTGGTATATAATTTTAAGTCATCTGCAAACATTAACCTATTGCATTCAAGCGAGTCACACAAATCGTTAATGAATATTAAGAACAATAGTGGCCCTAAATTGGACCCTTGAGGAACTCCACTAGTTGAAGTAAATTAATTAGAATTAAATCCATTATAACAAACATATTGTTTGCGCTTAGTTAAATATGATTTAAGAAGATGTATATAAGTAATATCGAAACCTAAACTAGAAAGCTTTTGCAGAGTTATTTTGTGACTGATTTTATTGAAGGCCTTAGAGAAATCGGTATATACTGCATCAACCTGTCCTCTACTATCTAATGATTCACAGAGATATCATCTGGAAAGACTGAAGTTTTAATGACTAGATTAAAAAGAGTTTGTAGCGGATATATTAATACTATTGAGCAATCTTTTAAGAGAAAAGAAGGTATTTTGTCTGAACCCGAGGTGAATTTATTTTTTAATTTTTTACCAGCATCTAGGATTTCTTTTTCCGTTATTGCTTCACTACTAATATTTAATAGCATATTAGGATCATAGTTAAGTTGCAAATTCAAGTCTTCACTATCTTCTGGCAAAGAATAGACACTTTCAAAGAATGTACTAAATGCATTCACTATCGAATCAGGATTATCATACTATTCATCATTATAGAACATTTTACCAGGAATTCTAGTTTTCTTTTTATTATTAACAAATGATTTTAAGTTTGATATTAACTCGAAGTCTACTAAATTCTTGGTAGTAAACAATATTTCCACTAGCTTTAAATTTTCTATGAAACTTAACTTTTTCTTTAATAAGTTTTATGATTTCACTAGTATACCAGACTGGATATTTATGTTTGAAATTTTTAAAAATTGGAACATGTTGATTAATTATTTCATAAAACTTATTATAGAAGGTTTCTACGCCAACATTAACATCAGTATTATTTTCCAAAAAATTCCAATTAGTGTGTAAAAACTCATTATATAAAGACAGAAAGTTTGCTTTTTTAAAGTTGTAAGATTTGCTATTATTATTTATACTGAAATTATTTTGATTTGTAGAGAATCCGAAAAGTTCAATTGTGAGAGATGGATGATATGCATCCTCATTTACCAATGGTATACAGTCACGAATTACAGAACAGTTTATGCTGCTTACTACTAGGTCTAAAGCTTAATTTATAAGCGCCGTAACGAAACTTAAGAACTTAACGTAAGAAGTTGAAATATTGAATTTACGTATACTTATTTATAATGTTCGTAACGTAACTTAAGAACTTAACGTACCGTAGAAAGTTCTCCAACTTTTAACTTAACAACTTAAGACCTTACGGTTAGCCAATGAGATAATTCTGAGTTCAGCATGTGATAACTGTCAATTATTCTCTTTTTATAAATGAATGGACAAATACCATTTGTAAACTATCATTCTCCTTTTTGATGGACATACATTATCATGAATGATTTGTGTTTATGTTATTGGGGATAAACTATTTATGAGATATGAGTGTTGCTGCATATACCTATAAACATCAAGTCGATAACTAAAATAAGTCACAAAACTAGTTTGTAGGAAATATTAAATTCTTATTATTGCTTAAAAACAATCAACATCTTCGGTAAACTATTCTGTTTTATTATATTTTTATACTATTGCTTTTAAAGTAGTTAATATATTCTTTCTATATAGCAAAATCATAATTTATAAGTTTTATTTAGAGGTTAGGTACATAGTTTACACTTGTTTATTTCATAAGGTTGTCAGTAATTTGATAATCTCTGAAATCAACAGGCATGCTCAACTCTTACGTTACGGACATTTATAAATAGACTTTATTTTTATATCTTAGGTTAAGTTTCTACGCCGTTAAGTTGAGTTACGTTACGGTGGTTATAAATTATACTTAACAATTTATCATAAGTATTTAAAATGTTATTGTATTGTTTAAAATTTAGTATGGCCAAGAAATTAAAGATTGTGCGAGTTTTTCTATCTTCTAGATTGTTCTCAGTAAAATTCGTACAATAAAGTCTCCTAATAACAAAACTTTATTATTGGTGAATACATTCCATCTTTCAATGGCCTCTAGAAAATTATCAAATTCTTCCAGAGACATAGATGGCATAATAAGAATTTTAGGTGATATATTTATGAGGTTTTATTGTCAAATTTTCACCAATAATTTTGAAATGGATCCAGTTTTCTGCATCTTCTTCCACCTAAAAAATAATGCAAACTAATTAGTACCCTCAGAATCAGTGTTAAGTAAAAAGGTACCTACTGACCTACTAGTTGATCAACTAGGTACGTTTTATAAATTTATATCAAATTGGAAACAAAAACAATTCAAGAATATCTTTACTTATATCAAAATAAATATAAAAGCACGATAGTAGTTTGTGTTTTGTAACAACCCTTATCCCACTATCGTTTTTGAATGTCTAAACTTTGAGAAACTTTTATAAACATTTTATCAGATTTGACTGTTTTTTTTTTACTTCTCATAGGGACCAAATACTTGAAAATATAACCAGTTATTGTTAATGTAAGACAAAATTAAACGATGTTTATTTTATCACACTTTTTAAAAGTAATTTCAATGTTTCCCACAATCGATTTGAAGTTTAAAATTTTGAAATTTTTGTATCATGAGAAGAGAAAACATAATCCGATTTTAGAAAGATATAACTATTGTCACTATTAGAAAAAGATAACGATCAACTGTACATGTTATGGTATCACAGATTCTTTAGTGACCAATAAAAATAGGCGCTTCATTATGACGCAGTAAATGGCGCAAAAATAAAGTGTTTTAAATAATTGATTTAAAATACTATAACTGTATTATTTATTATCTATTTTATTTATTATGTTGTGCTTAAACAGTGAATAGCATTAGATTCATTAAATTCGTTTACACTAAATACATCCATTATGTGTTGCACCAATACAAAGCTCAATAAATTCTAATATTAATTAACAGGTACCCAAACAACATGCAAATCTCAAGCCACTTCACCAGTAGCATGTCTGACTCCTCCTCCAGAATTACAAACAAAAGAGGTCAAGATTTCTTCAGTGCAGGACGCCAGTAATCAGACCGATGCTGTGATGGGTAATGACGAACCCACAGCATTAGTTTTGGATGTACTAGAGAAGCCAGCAACACCAAATACTATGTTGGAGCTACCAGAAAAAACATTAATTTTAGAAAAAATTGAAGAACCACAAGTTGTTCAAGAACCAGAGGTAATTACCCAACATTTAGGGTGTAAAGATGTAGTTTAAACCAGGTTCAAGGTTGAACTAGGGTTAGGTATAAAAACACAACACGTTTGTGTACTGAGAACCAGGTGTAAACTTTAAAACACGTGTGTACAACCCACCATTAATCATAAAACTAGTTTTCTTTTTGCTTAAAAATGTATGTTATTGTAAAAACTCTGATCTTGCTAAAAAGAAAGTTATAGCGATCAACTTTAGTCAATTCAATGTTTATTTGACGGGCATTGTTAGCAAATCGTGTATTATGTGTATGTTGTGTTACCTAATTACTTGCAGATTGAAAAGGAGCAATCTATTTTTAATATTTCAATTATCGTTTAAACATTACGGGAAATGGGTTTGAATAGTTTGTTTTAAAATACCGATTAGCTTTAATAAATATTACCTTTCTTTTATTAGTGCCAGCGCTAAAGTTAATAATGTCAAATTATGACAAATCGCAGAAAATGTCCCTAATTTTTACTAAGCTATTCAGCAAATTCTGGGTTTGGCTAAATATTTTGCCTAACACAAAAGACAAATATTAATAGATAAACGTATTTCAACAAAATTTTACACTTTTACTATTGTAGATCTTTATTTAATGGGGCATGTTCAAAAATTTTGAAATTTTTTTTATGAATAATAGAGTTGAAAATAAAACTACATATTTTTTATTTTTTTTTATCTATTCATTTGCCGGAGTTATGAATTTTTTAAAATTTATGACGTCACCGGGAATAGACCAATAGGAGCTAGCGCACAACGTTGCCGGCTAGAAGGTTTACGAGAAGTGATGTACGTTCGTTTGTGTAGTCCTTCTTACTTTTAGACTTCTAAAACATCGTTAAACAAATATCTTTTAAATATATAATATCAAATGTTTTTGAAAGTATTATTTCTGTTTAAACTTTTATCATATTTAAAGTTTCATTGTTTTAAAAGTCACTTAATAATTCAGAAAATCGCAAAATGGCAGCACTGTGTATGGCATCTGTCATAGTGTCTCGATCAAGAATTTATTTGGAATTTGAGTGTTTAATTCTGTACTTTTTATAAATATTATGACTACGAAAAAGTGTTTTGTTCCAGAATGTGATAATGATTCACATACATCTTCAAAAATATTTATTAGTGTTCCTAGAACTTTTTAATAAAAATACACCGAATTATCAAGATGTAGCAGCAATTTCTGCGAATTGTCCCCTTCAGGAAATTGAAAATGAGGCTACTATAGATTCTTAGGTGTATAACCTAAAAACCCTTCTGGAAAAAAATGCAGAATCTCCTGAAAGTTTTGAAGATACCGAATTTATTCATCATTTTGTGGAAGAACTAGTGATAAAGAAATAATAGAAAAATGTGGGTATTTAAACAAACTGGTTCCTGGATCTCATATATTGGCAGATAGGGGTTTCAGAATATTCAGCTACTTGAAAACATGGGATGCACTTTAGTAAAGCCACACCTAGTGTATCACAGAATGAAAAAAGTTCTCCAGAAGATGTACAATTAAGTAAAAGAATAGCATCTCTAAGAATACATGTGGAAAGAGTTATAAGAAGGGTTAGTTAATTTAACATGTTAAAACCACATTCGTGTGTGAATTTTAAGCAAGTACATTTACTTAGTAATATCTGCATAATTGCTTGTTAACTTACAAGAACCTATTTTGTAAGAGTAAATATTAATTTAATAAACTTTTTTGTTTGTTTTTTAATTTAATTTACCTAATTATCACATTTCAGGGATTATAATGAGTTTTTAAACAGCCAATGTAATTTTTGATAAAAATTTAACTTTTCGAGCAAATCAAAGAGGAATGAGTACCTGTATATGCATAGATTTTTTTGGGACTAAAACTACCAAAACAAAGGCACCTATTTACAGCAGTTTAAAATGAAACATTTTAACAAAAACGCCTATGTCACAGTGATAAATATTAAAAACAACCAAGTTCAGTTGAATGTGGTAGCAAAGTCTATATATTCCAATAAATCGGGTAACTACATGTGGTATCACTGGTGATAAATTTAAAAATATCACAATTCTTGCTACCTTTTTCAAAAAACCAGAAAGTGTGCCTTCTTATCAATCCTTTATGAAAATGACAACAGTAATAAATGTGAAAAAAAAAAAAAATTTATGTTGCTATTCGTTATTACGATAGTAAAACATGTTTGCAGTTCCGTTTATTTTTTATGAAAATCTAAGTAAAAACAACCTATGTCAAAAGGTTATAATTTTTTTTCTGTCAAACCAAATATATTACAAAATTAAAAATTGATCATAGGTCAAGCTAAAGTAATACCTTTATTGATAGTAGCTTTAAAAAAGGAGAAAGAATAATACTGACTTAAGTTATTATTATTAACATTGGTGATTTTTAATAAAAACTTTTCAATTATTGTTTACAAACAAAAATATAAAAATCTGTGAAAATTTTATTTATTAACCTTTTAATAAAAAATGAGAAAAATGAAGTAAAAAACAATTTATTTACAAATAAAAAATATATATACGAATCCTAAGAATATAAAAGTACTGATTTATTTTCCTGTAGTGGATGAAGAGGTTTATTTAACAATCTAGCCAAGTGTACATCAATATTTACGCATTTTGATAAATTAGAGCCTTTCCAATAACAATGAGTAGATGTTACAGATGGTTTCTCACTTCTTCTATGAAGCTACATGTTTACAACGACCTGAAAAAAATAAAAGGGTTAGATATGCAGTTACAAAATAACTATATAACCTGCTACAAAATGCCTTATTTTATGTAACAAGACGAGCAGAGCTTTACTAGCTCTGTACGAATCTAGTAAAGAACCTCGGATTTTCAAAACTTAAAAAAAACAATCTCACCACATTTTCACATTTTTGAAATATTATAGAGCTTTTCGAAAAAAACTGCTATTTTTAAAAGTACAATTTTTTAGGCTATTGAGTATTATAAAATAAAAAATTACGGGATGCTTTGTTAGCTTCAAACGAATCCAGCAGAGCACCCCAGTTTTTTTTTAAACCACACCACGTTTTTTGGCTCCTACAATGTTATAAAATATTCGAAATTTGGCATTTTTAAAAAAATTCGCAATTCCTTGCTGACTTCAAAGTTTTTTTTTCTGAAAACAAATATACTTACCACATTTTTAGGATTTTAAAACACCCTAAACATGTGTCATAAGTAGTTGTTTTTATATATAAAAAACAAATTAAAAAACTGAAGTGTCCTGCTGACTTTGTTCCAACAAAGCACCCTGTATTATTTAAAAATAGCAATTTTTTTAATAAAGTTTTACAGTATTTCAAGAGTCTAAAAATATTCTAAAAATGGGGTGTTTTTTAGAAAAAAGCTTTAAAAAACCGAATTGCTCTGCTGGCTTCTTTCGAAGGTTAGCAAGCACCATGTATTTTTTAAAAATATAATATTTCAAGTGCATAAATATATGGTGTTGCTGTTTTTACAGAAAAAACTTTATAAAACAGAGGTGCTTTGCTGACTTCGTTTGAAGGCTATCAGAGCATTTCAAGTTTTGCAAAAAACGAGAAGCATAAAATTTTTGAAAAGGTATAAAAATAGCCTACAAATATGGCATATTTTTTAACTCAAAATTTCATAGGTGCTCTGCAGCATTCTTTGGTATCTCATAATTATTACTAGGTTCACTAACAAAATCTATTTCTAGATTATTTTAACACTTGCTGCGATTACAAAAAATGTCTATATGTCAAAATTAGAAAAAAAATATTTAAAGGAATAAAAGGCCTTATACACTGTTTATTATATGTGATATAAAAACAAAAAAGCATAATAAATATTACAAACCTTGACATGCGGCATATCCTAAGCATTGTGCACTAAAAATTTCATTTTTGTTAATTACAACAACCACATCAGAAGGTTTTTGCCGTACTTTATGTTTAGGTGTAATTTGTCTCCATCTCTCTTATGGAAAAAGAAATTATCCCCATTTTCTTGCTTGGCAGATCTAAAAATAAAACCTGAGATAAATATGTTTTACTATAAGGTGTATTGGCTCCATATAAACTGTAACTACCTACTATTAAAACAAAGTCTTACCTTTCTGACTTTTGTAAACTGAGTATTGTTAAAAAATGCAGTAATCATCTCGGTAATCATATTTTCGTTTACAATGGGTAAAACACTTGATTCAACTTTTATAAATCCAGCTGAACCAAAACAAAAAACTAAGGTTAGGTGTTAGGTGGTGTCAATTTTAATGTCACTTCGACATTCTGTGTGTCGGTTTGTTCGTTGGATTGGTTTTGTATAACAAAAAAAACTTCGACACAAGATGATTGGTCTATTCCCGATGACGTATAATTTCAAATTTTAAATTTCAATTGGGCTTAATTTAAAAACTTTTGGCTTTTTTAACGAACTGACTATTTAGAATAACTTGTATAGCGACTAACTATTACAATATAATTTATAAAACAGCATATCTCACATGTGAACATGGCCCATTATAACTGGAATAGGTACAAAATTAATTAAACGTATACAAAGGAGATGACAATTTAAAAACTTACAATGTTTATATCATGAACTAAAGATGATATTAGAAAATTAAAACCTAACAAATACAATTTATTTTATACTGGCAAAAGAAATATTTAAAAACAAGTACTGATTTAACATTTATCTCTTATATGGTGACAAAAACAAGTACCTACGGAATATGTAAAAGCGTTTTACTTATTAACCAATATTGTTTTATTTATATATTTTTTTAGTATTCATGTATCCATCCCAAACAAACCCAAAAGCGTGCATAATCGGGTCTTTATCGCACGCCGTGCGTATAAAGTTTGCTAGGTTACCGCTTCAATAAATAAGATTAGATTATGTCAGATTTTATTTTGAATTGTTAAATTAATTAAATTGTTCACAAGCTTAGATAAAAGAGAGCGAAGATGTAACATTGCACACTGCACATGTTGTCTGTTTTAACTCCA